AACACTTCTCACGGTTTCTCAAAGACACAAACGAGTACTGAGGGAGAGAAAACAAACAAGCAGAGGAAAGGCTTAAATCTGGAACTCCTTAAACTCAGTGTTTCCCCGGAAAGTTAATCTGCAACGTCAGCTCGACAAGCTGTCAGGCTCACTGCAGGAGGCCCGATCACAGTTAACACACTGTCCATCATTTCCTTTTACCAGCTGCTAAACCAACCGGTACATTTGTGTCAAGTCAAGAATGAACACTTATTTTTGGAGATCTCGTCATTTGTAAATAAATGAATGCTACCAGATGCTACATTGTGCTGCTGGTTTCTAAATGAATTTTGCGCGTACACAGTAGACAAAGTAAAACACATATTAAGCAACACATAATGCACATTATAAAAGGTAAAAACTACACAACAAGCAGTCTGAGAAAACAAATGTCCACCAAGGCAGCTCACTCACTGAGCAGCGTTTACTTTTAAGGGAATAATATAGATTTTTCTGTACATTCATCTTGTTTTCTTTGTTCTTTTTAAACATACTTTAAGAATTTTGTAGTGCAGACTTCTGTTAATTGGCCTGTTTCAACCTATTTTAATTATTTTCATTGTTTTTTTTATTTATTTGGAAACACTACATGTGTAATATTTGTTTTATTGTTTAGTAAAATTCATTTACCCATTAATTACCAAATATAAAGTGAAAAAAGTTTTGTATTTAAACGGTTATAACCTGTTATTCTAATGTACGTAAGAAAGTCATAATAAAATAATGTCCTTGGTGGATGTAAGCCAAATTTTAAATGACTGTTAGCATGACCTCAGTCTACACCTCTACAGAGTTTGATCAGAATTCAGAATTTTTTGAGCTATCGTGTTTACAGACAGAATGACATGCACGCATGTCTCCATAACCAAAACCTCCCGATCATCCATGCTTACACGAATCAACTTAGCTGAACTCAAAAGTATCCAGTTAAAAAATTATGTTTTCAGTTTTTTGAGGCCCTGCGATAAACTGGCGGCCTGTTTGAGGTGTACCCCGCCTCTCGCCCTGTGGTAGCAGGCGACCCTGATAAGGATAAGTGGAAGAAAAGGGCTGGATGGAGTTCTTTGAGTTGTAGGTAAGAAGTTCAACAATAAAGAAAGGTTTCTGCTTTCACAACTATAATTCCCTTTAGATGTAAACTTCGTCATTGAGGCCAGAAACCCTGACAGGGTTCCCCGTGATACTGAGCACCAAAGCAGCCAGCTTATTAGAGAGCAACTTAAGTTTCTGATAGCTTTTGATTTAAATACTTAACCGCAGAACTACACTTTACATCTGTAATGCAAAGATTCAACTGCTACTTTTAAAGGTGTGTGCTGACCTTCTCTTCAGCAGTCTGTATAGAAAGCATAGACAGGGCTGAGCCATGTTTCTTCACATCCTTTATGCTGGAAACAGGAATCACCACCTGCAATGTATGAATGGTAATGAGTGTGGTTTTCTTTAGAAACTTACAGAGCTCATTACAGTAAAATGACATGCCAAACATTCACAAAGTGAAACAAGCAGAAACAAACCCCAGAGCAAGTTGCTGTGTCGTTCTCTCTTCAGGTATGATAAATGCTAAAAATCCAAGTGAAATACTAGGATTCGGACTAGTAATGCTGACTGCTCCTCTGTATCTTTATCTAGAAAATCCAAATGATCTCCCTTTGATTGTAATTTTGCAGCTGGGAAAGTCCAAGTACTGCAGCTCCTGCCATCACATTTCAGTGTGTGGCGTAAGTTTGAGTTACCTTGGTGTCTTTGAGCAGCACAGATGAGTGGAAACACACATGGTTCTGAGAAACAAAGAGTTTTCCGTGATACAGCACTTCCTTCTGCAGGGAACACGTGAAAGCTGCAACAGATACACACAGTTCGAAGGCATTAGGTCACTGTTTCTAAGGTGATACCCACACAATACCAGAGCCATGACTGCTGAAACGTTTACTGAAGCGTTTCGGCCATGCAGTCACCCCAGACCGCTTGGAAAACAAAGCATTAAGTGGCACTTCATCTGGCAGCAAAGACATCGGGGACACTCTGCGAAGCCATTTCCATAATCAATATTCGCAAATGAGTTACAACCTCTGGACCTCAGCTCAGCTCACCGTGTGCCAGGCTGTCCCACACAGGAATCTCTGGAAACAGCTTGTTGAAGCTTTTATTGTGCTTGAAGTACTGCAGGGAATAAAGAAACAAAAGGTTTTCATTCAGACTTGTTTCAGATACAGAAGAAGAAGAATCAGGTTTGTTAACTGACTTCGAGACCTGCACTCAGCATCAGTATACTAACTTTTGAGCTGCCAAGCTTGTCATCAAACATTTACTTATTTAAACCCTCCAGCAGTTAGAATTTGCTTAGTCTCTGGATACCTGGTAAATGGCCAATAATCAGCCTGCATTGAACTCTAGTTTAGATCACTCGTGGCTCAAAATTGTCTACTTCCTCATTCATGTAGTTGATAACCATGTGTATCTGATGTTACATTGTAAAGCTTTCCCACCTGGGATGTCCGAAAATGCTATGAGAAACTAGCTTGAAACTCAGTCCTGAAGCAAGAAGATAAATAACAACCTAAACGTAACCACAAAGCCCCTTAAATCCAAGTAGAGCGTCATATTCAGGTAGGTTTCTTGCATTCACTTTGTCACATTGCTTTCATGTTGGAACATAATGCATTGCCACTGTGAAAACATGATTCATGGCCGCCTCAGTTCCTGTGGTGTGAATAAAAGGGAACAAGAAGGAGCAGGGTAAAGGGAAGCAGGCTTACGTGATCATCTGAGCGCTGAAGATTCTCCTCTGCTATGGTCTGCTCTCTGATGACACAAAGGCACAATAGTAACACAAATGAGATAAGGATGTTTTCAGGGAGATATCTGACAGTCTGTGCAGCTTTAACATTTTAAACCATCCAATACTTAGTAAATACCCCCCAACCCTGTGTAGTGATGAAGGAAGACTCTACCTCAGGGCCATGTTGGAGTCAAGGCTGTGATTTAGTTGGCCCTCCAGTTGTACTGCGTCCAGCATCGTGTTCTGTTTATTTTTCTTTGTACTAGATATAAAACTGCTTCTTCTCGTGCCAAAAATATCACCTCCTTCCACGATACTGTCCCAAGAGACCGGGATATAAATGTCAGACTGATGATCCAGCTTTTATATCACCCACAGACACACGCTATCAATATAGAACACCAAAAAGGTAATGAAATCACAGCAAAATAGAAATTAATGCATTTCTCCCTGATGGATGGGTGCCAGCTCCTGCGTGGCGATGGGGAAAATGTTACAATCTTCAGCTATTTTGTTTGCATCAGTCACAGAATGACTTTTCACAACGATGAATGGAGCTCATCAACAGGTACAAGAAAGATCTGTTCGCCATCAAAGCACTCTTGAACATTAACAAGGTACAAGAAAATAATATGCTGTTCCTACACTGTCTTCCAAGTCCTTGAGCAGCCTTTTAAGCACCAGCTGTGCCAACTTTCTGACTGTCTGCCTCTCAGACCGGTGGTTAGTCTGCTGTCTCCGGGCAACTGACTTGGCTCTCCGGAGGATGGTTTTACTTTTGCAAAAGCAGCCGCCACAAAGCCCGAGCACAATGAAAAACTGTACTCTACAGCTGGTATTTAGAGTGGCTTTTTGTTTTTACACTGTACGCTTACAAAGTCAATATCACTGTCAACAAATAAAACATGTACATTAGGCACAAAGGAGGAAATGTGATAAGATAAACACTCACCCAGAGCTGTCCAGTGAGAATTTCCTATTTCTCAGAGTCATGATGGAACATAAACAATTCCGGCTCACGCACACACAAAGTCATACACTCGAATACATAGTGTAACTGTATAACTTTATGTCTGTAATCCACGTTTACTGGCTCTGTGCAGGGCTTTGCTTCTCTTGTATTTCCTGGAAATGACTCTAAATCACCAAGGGCCAGGTGAACACAGGTGAGAGAAAAAACAAAGGACAAAGACAGCCTCCTGACGGCTGCCTTTTAATGTTAACCAATTAGCTGTGAGAGGTGGAGCTTTGCATAACAAAACCAATCAGTGAAGGAAGGAGGAAAATCTACACTGATGCAGAGTTTGCTCCTCATAGGAAGATCTTTCTATGGGCGGCACTGTCTATGTTCACCCTTTGACTTAAAAACACACCTTCTAGACCCACACATCAGCACACACAATGAGAAGGTATGCAGAGACAACCGTCATGAGATTTAGATATGACAGTAACATTGTTATCTGTCATGCAAAACCTTCAGCCTGCATAGATTAATATCACATGGAAAGAATGACGGACACACAGCAGAGGATAGCGTGACATGACATATTTTTATGTAAATATTGCATCACTGTACAGACAGTAACTTTAAAAAGATACTGCCAACCGCCAGTGCTACCACTTTTGAAATCCTACGATGCTTACTTTTTGTGTTATTACATTTACAGGATTTTCCCCAAAAATGGACTTCTGAACTTTAGGACACTGAGATTCAAACTTGTCTGAGATTTTAGTAGATACGCCTATGGTATCAATTTGATAATCTTACACCGCCACGTTCTCCAGTTATTGCATTCACAAGATTTTCTGAAAACCTGCCCTTTAACCTTAAGGCCAAGGTGTGCAAAGTGTCCAAAACTTGTCCAAGATTTTTGGTAAGAGAATTTTGAAAAATGTGAAAATCCTAGTTAACTTTCTTTTTGAATTATTGCATTCAGACGATTTTCAGAAAAGAGATTTGAAGATTTTTAGTCGATCCACCCATCGTATAAATACCGCAAAAATTTCCAGGTCTATCTACATTAAAATGTTATTGGCCTTACTTTTTTGTTTTTCTTTCTCAAAGTCGATTCAAACATAATCTTCAGAAAGTCATGTCTCCTTTCCTATAACATACCTGCAACTTAGGCAAAGTTAAGGAAAATCCATAATATGATCCAAAAAGGCCCAAAAAGCACAGTGTACAGATGTACATGTAACATGAAGAAATACTGTTTGATTTTCCACAAAATTACACAGTGCTCAAAATGACTATATTACTTTGTATAATTAGTGTCTCCTTTCCTGTAAAATACCCAGTTTAGATACAACTTAAAATTAGTTATGCACAACTTAAATTTACTTACTGCATAATTATTTCCTTGTTTCTTGTAAAAATCTGACTTGTTCCAGTGTACCCACCTTTTAAATATAAGGCACATATAATTACCAGGGAGTTATACCAGGTAGTTAAATGGAAGACGTGATTATAAAGTGTTACCAAATCATTTGGTCTTGAAGTAATGAAAAAGTAGAATTGCTGATGCTTGCTAACTTTTCCTTAAGAGTCTAAAAGAAAAAGCTCAACACTTTAATCAGTAATTTACAGCACAGGACTGTGGGTGATTTATGAATGTTGTTGCTGAAGGTGATTTAAAGACTGCAAAAGCTGAAGCTGGCGCCTTTTTCCTGTTGTACATGATTCATTTGCTGTGTGTTTAATTTATATCATTGTGTTTAGTTCATTAGTTACTGTACACTGTTCTTCCAATGGCACAGTTGATTTCACTGCACATTATCTAATAGGATGACAAATAATTTTTTGATAAAAGTCATTTTATACAGTTGTAAATAAAGTCCCTTTCTACCACCGTAACAGGTGACATTACACGTCTCCATTAATTTTCTTAATAGCATATCCAAGTTAGGGTGCAGGGGGTCCTGGGGCCAGAGGCAGACATATTGTATTTAAGTTGAATTTTCTTGAAATTAGCATTTATTTGAGTTTTATTTTTATAATAAATTTGTACTTTTACTCCCTACATTTTATCAGAAATGTCGGGTTCGTTTTTCCACAATAAATAAATAAATGCGAACAAATTATATATATTTATATATATTTTATATATCGAAGCTACACAAGATTTGTTGCTGAAGTTATGTTGTTTATACGGTGAAACATCCTGCAAAACAAATTGAAGTATACTAACGTATTATTTTTTAAAGACTGCATGAAATTTCCAGGCAGTTTAGCACAGGCGGAGGTATTGTGGCAAAGTTTACACTTATGCATTGTGTAAGACTTGTGCAGAGTGTCTGTGGTGTTCATGGTCAGAGTTAGGTTACGTTTAGATTCACTCACTGAATTCCACCTGTATATTAGCTTTATACTGTCTGGAGGCTAAAAATCAGCCGTGTTAGCTCATGCAACATCTTTCTTTCTTTTTTAAATGAATGTTATTCAAAAAGGGGCTGTCAGTATTGCCATTTGATGCATTGTACCAGAGTTAGCTGATAGCTAATTTCCATGCATGATTACACGTACAATAGATCACCATAATAAAATATCATAAAAAAACCCCCGGCTTTGTTCACATTGGAAATTACTGTAGCTGTTTCTAACTGTTTTTCTCCACCTGCCAAACCCCACTTTAACCTCTGGGTCTATTCATTTTTCTATTTTAGCTTTGAAGGGAAGGTCACCCATCTACAATGCAGGCAACAGCAAAAATAGTTCCTTTTTTAAGTTTCTCTGCTTGTGTTCTACGCAACAGATGTTCAAGCTGGGTGCATTCATTAGAATTGGATCTAAGTTGCATTAATATTAATGTGACATGAGGTTCAGATGGCTTGGCAAATAAATAAAGATCAACTTTTTCTTGTATACTTTCAGTACTTCTTTACTTTGACTCGAGTGAACAAGTCGAATCAGTTTGACCATTTTTTAGAATTTTTAAGTCCATCTCACAGGGCTAATACCACACACACCTAAAGCCAATTTAAAATACCAAATTAAAGCAGCATGTCTCTGGAATATGGGACAAAAGTGGTGCAGACACAAAGAGAACTCACACAGAGAGGAGCCAAGCAGGAGGCTTCAGCTGCTGTTGGGAAATCGCACTAACCTCTGCACCCCGGTGCCATCTGCAGACCACCTTGCAAATTAATGAAATATTAGATTGTCAAAACAACTGTGCTCTTCTGCATCGCGGCATATTTTGATATGCGAGAGGGGGAAAGCACAGGTGTAAATAATGAAGCAATGTTTTCTTAATGAGATGTTGTGATGAAACAGAGCCACAACCTCTGAGAACTGAAACAAAAGTGTCTGCTCTGACAGAGGATCTTAGGAAATCTCTTTGTTTTTGTATACAAGTTCAAGAATGAAAATAAAGTTTATACAGTTGCATTTTCTAGTAATATGCAACACACTTTAGTATTTATTTCGCCCACTTATGTACTGCATGTACATGCAGAGTAATACTGCGTATTATGGAAGCAGTGAAGAAGTTCTTGCGGTAGAAGACTGTTTCTGTTATGAAGTATAAAATCAACTCAGGTTAAGGATCTTTCTTTGGTTTTCTTTTCCTTCCTCCTCCACTGAGCAGCCAGTTTGTTTTTTTGATGATCAGATTTTCCTTAGTGATAACTGCTATAAAAAGAAAGGTAATCAAAGAAATTGTGTAAACATAAAAGTTTTAATTTAACTGAGTGTTTTTTTTTTAACCTGTACAGTTTATGAGTTTTTAAAATGTGCCGACAGAAAAACGCTATGTACAATTAATGTCAATCAGAGTGAAATTCAATTCAAGCATATGTGTTTAAATAATTCACATAATAGGAATTTTTCAGCCCTAACGCTGACACCATCACGGGTGCTTCACACTGACTGCTGTGACTTGTCTGTAGGTGTGGAACCAACTGGGGCACAAAACCGTGTACAGGCAAATAATGTTGATTTTGTAACATACCTGACGTGTTTTAACACATCTCATTAAGGACGTGCACCAGCATGGAGTCATGAAAGCGCATGTAAACGTGCCTTTCATGGACAGAACAATGCATTTCTTGACTTTCCCTTTCTGTTTCTCTGTGCAACATTTAACAGCAGTGAGGGGTTGGCTTTTAGAGAGATTTCAAAGAAATAGTAAGTTAACATTTGGCCCCGTCTGATAAGAAACAGTGTAAGATGCAGCAGATGTTCATATCAGACCGATAACAGTCAGGAACAATGAGGACGGCAGGCAGATTTTTCAGATTTAGTCCAGACGTCAGACACGTGTAGAGCTCTGCCTAGGACAGGCAAGTTCGTGAGCATTAGTGAACAGCAGTTGATAATCTCTTTGTGCATGGCATGTGCTTTGAAAACAGACCCTATCACTAATCCGAGGAGCAACATTCCTGATGAAAGGAAAGTAGTCTGTCCAGTCCTGGTTTCCGTCACTATCTGCCATAAATTCTGGTTTGTTCAATCCATATTTTTGACGGGTGGCTTTAAATGGATGGGGTGAGGGATGAAAGACATTTTTGTAATGTGAATTTTTTTTACTTTTGACTATTTAGAAGAAGTGGAGGTATCTTAAATATAATTTTTATGTTAAAAGTTTAATTTTAACTGAATAAAATTCCATTTAAAATACCTGAAATGGAGTTCTGTTCATTATTAGGCTGGTTTAAATTCCCAACAGACACATTAAAATCTCTATTTTTAACTATTTAATTGTTTGTGTTTAAATGGTCTTGTTACTGCACGTGACAGATTTGTGGCATCCATGTATTGTTTAAAATCATTAAGATCTGATTCTCAAACACTCCTGATCATCCTGAGGTCGGGGCTTGTGCCTTTGCAGTCGTTACACTGAAACTCTGGAAAAACAAACATTTCTGTCAAACTTTTAGAAACTGCTGATTTCTGGAATGGTGATTGGACGATTGGTTGTTGTTAAGTTATTCCATGTAGACATTGTGAATGTGTGTGGCATACATTTTTCACGAACCTGAATATTCTTTGTTATGTTAGTATAAGGCACTTTGGTTTTACATGTGCTATAGGAATA